CAAAACGCCTAATTTGCATGAGGCAGTGGAAGAGGAACTCTGACAACCAGCTTATACGTACTAGTAGAAGTCAAAAGGGAGGCAGCAAAGCAGACAAATTGTCCTTTTAGGAGTAAAAAAGACTGTTCGAACACTGGAAATTTTTTTTTTACCAATTCTGAGCTTTCGAAGTCAGGTAGGCGTCCATCGACAGAGACAGCAGCAGCAACAGAAAAAAGGTTAAGCTCAGCGTGATTCAGCGCCGAAATCTGTACAACCTAAACCCTCCTGGTGTCAGCTTCCGAACCTTACTCCACCTCAACCTAGATTTTACCGCTTCTATTAGAGAGGATGATGAGCAATCGTAAAAGTACGTTTGCCTACAACGACAGCATGACAGTTAAAGTAAGCTTACATCAAGATACTAATGTGAGTAGAAGAGTGTAATAGGGGGGAAAAGCTGAATCTAAAATTTCCGCTTAGTAGGGGCCTCTAGGGAAAGATGCTGCTCTGCTGAAGGATAGAGCCCGATAGGCACCTTACGTGCACCGGATCGGACAAAGTAAGCGAGCGTCAGCACACGCGTTCGAGGACTGATCATGGTTACCTCGTTGGTTTCAAAAAGTGCCCACCCCAATCTATTTTACTGCTTGTTTTCGCAGCGAAATTCGAGGAAAAAAAAGAATTAATGTCCACTGTGTGTTAATGCACCAGAAAGCTCCGTCATACGGTGTCCTGCACATAGATCGACCGACTAAGCGTAGGAAATACACGCTTCGTTGGTAGGCACCTGTTAGGACGGCCGAGTCATAACTCGGGCTGTCCTGAGGGCACTTGAAAAAAGGAATCGGACAGGCTATCGGTGCATGCAGAGCGGGCAAAGAGAGCAACCTTCAAGGGACGACACGTGAGCACGCAAGGACAACCACGGCCGGGGTCTGCCATCCGTGAGGTCATGCCTGACCAGGGGCAAAGAGCGCGCACCAAGCGTCAATATGAGGACACGGTGGCTGCGACACGATGGCTCCTCGCATGGGCCACTAGCGGAGGAGCCAATAGGGGACAAAGGCTGTGGGTCCTTAAATATGACGCCAAGCTTTATAACTACTGAAAAGCCGATTTATTATCACTATACCTCCGTTGTATCTTAGCACCTAAATATGCACTATGTAGATATTTTCACTCTAACTTGCTTGCCACTAATTGTAAAGAATCATTCACAGTAGACCAAATGGTTACCTTGATTCGCTATGGCTACATGCAAAACGCAGATTTTATGCATTAATACCGTTTGCTTATTACAGGCATTTGGAGTTATGTGATCACATGGTGATCATTATAAGCTATCCTTATCCAATAAAACCTGAATGTAAAATATCCTGAAAGCCAGCTAATGCAAAAAACGGAGTAAATAAACCAACTCAAGTATTGCAGAAAAAAATGCACTTTTCAAGTGCGCGAAGTTACGTAGGCTAAGACTCACGTGTTTAAAATACTCTCATCTCAAAGGAAAAAAAAACATATGCGGATGCGTAAACCTAGTCTGGGATATTAGCTACAAGGATACAAAAACCGCCGGAATAAACAGTAACCTAGATTATCGCTAAAATGTTCAAACACCTTGACAAATAAAATTATTTATAAGGCTGTTCTGCTGTATGCGAAATGAGCTAGAGGAATAAACAAAATATGCAACATTTTAATTGCTGACAACTGATCATCGTCTCAGTTTTGCGTCTGACCCTAGGTTTGTGAGACAGGTCACACATATTGCAAGTCTGAATTAACGTTCAACCCCCCGGCCAAAGCCCCCTCCCTCCTTGAAGGCAGCAGCTCCTATGCTGAAAAACGCCGCCGTACCACAGAATAAGAAAAACACGTCGAACAACCCCTTAAAGATGCGCTCCAAGATAACAACCGGTCAAGGTACTACTCCACCTGCGGTAAGTAACACTCGAGAGGGAGAAAGCCCAAGAGCTGCTGAAACACGTAAACCACAGGGAAAGATGGTAGAGTCTTTCTCTTTCTCTCTCGCACACAGCACAGACAATACGAGACTTTCAACTGACCCTTGCCCTGCAGTTGCAGGGAGGAAAGCAATTAGAAATAGTTATTCCCATGTTTAATTTGGAACGTTTATTCGGGAAACATATATTTTCAGCAATTCATCATCAGGCCAGTACAATTGTAGGGAAAATGAAAATCGTACAGTTGGAGAGGGCTAATAAGGGTCCCCTGATTAAAACTCATTGTTTTCACACCGCCCACGCGCCAACTTCTTATTGAGATGTATGCACCAGGGTGAACATACGAAACATTACCAGAAAACCTTACGAAGGGACCCCTATGAACCCTGTCCAACTGTATGCCTTTCAGTATCCCTGCAATTGCACAGGCCTGGAGATGAAAACATATGTTTGCCGAATAAACTGTCCAAGTTAAACAGGAAAATATTTGCAGAACGCAGACAGTCTAAAAATAGTTATCTAGACAGCAAAAAGAGATTAGGCAATCGACACTGAAGGAGCGAGAAGCTAGGCAGATTACTTGTGGGAGGCGTTGTGTGACAGATGCGTTCAGGGCAGGGCAGGGCAGGGCAGTAGGACAGACAAAACTCCCCAAAACCATTCAAGCCCGCGGCATATGGCCACACAGAACTCACACTCATACACACAAAAAACGGGTCAAAATACCCCAAACATTGAGCGTAGGCTACCTTTTAGGAAATGTCCTATGCTCCATTTATCAAAAAATATATTAGCCCAAATTACCTCATCTAATTAGGTGGTCACGGTAAACAAACCTTCTGCCCCCACTGAATTAGTTGGTACAAGTCACCCCGAGGGCAATGCCGTAGCTGCGAAAAAATCTGCTGGATAATTTGCTACGCACTTGCGAGGGTGAGTTCAATCAAAAAAACATGCGCCTCCTACATGTGCCCTAGCTGCATCAAGTAGACACGACCTCAGATTTTACACTAGTGACAGTTGGAGGAGGAGGAGGAGGAGGAGGAGGGGAAGACGACACGGACGTTCAAGACGTCTCTGCTAGAACTGCGGACACTGTAACAAGTGTTGGCAAAAGTCCAAATTATATCCTGGAAGCAAGCCAGATTATCCAAAGTTATCGGCTTTAGTAAGGCATGCCAGTTTAGAGCAGCTAACTCCTCTTTAAGACTGTATAACTTAATCGGGGCGAGGTAGACAAGATTTTCGGTTGCAGAGATTCAATACCGCACTGAACCGTGTGACCTGGGCTCTTGGTTTTGAAAAAAGAAACTTGCATAGGTTATGCAGAGCACATTTTAACACCCCTTGGGTACTGTCGGTCGGCTTATATCACATAAGCAAAGATTAAAGCGGCAGGGGTTTCCTTGGTAGCGCACGAATGTTCTTATTT